GATTCGTAACCACTACGGTACCTTTCGGTATTTCCCATTTTTGTGATTTGTCTGATCATGAAGTCCTAGCAAGGTAGCAGCATAGGATAAGCACTGGACTGCAAACCGCATGGTAGGAGGTTTGAGCTCACCAACTGCTCCATGGGAGAGAGATGAGGCTTTCTGTTCTGCAAAGATTAAAAAAGCTTCAGGAACCCTATACTGGATTGATATTAGTCAGAACCAAATTAGCGGCACTTAACAGCTACAACAACCCCTGTACCTATGAATATCATTTAGTTTAGAAATAGGTGTTTTTAATTTAACAATTTAACATGCTTAATGGTGTTAGGTGTCATCGAATAAGCTCCAACTCATAACTCCATGCATAACAGACAAAACATTGTCCAGTCCTGAGCCATCCTCACAATTGTTTTTTTTTTGAGCCCATTGTTGGCAGCCACTGTGTTAATCCATGTCATTGGGGATCTTCTGTTTCACTGACCCTCCAATTTACCAAACATAATGTCCTTCTTCAGGGACTGACGCTTGCTAACAACATGTCCAAAGTATCTTTACCAAACATAATGTCCTTCTTCAGGGACTGACGCTTGCTAACAACATGTCCAAGTACCATCCTTGTTTCTAAGGAGCATTCTAGCTGTACTCCTTCAAACACAGATTTGTTTGTTCTTTTGTCCATCCATGGTACTTTCATTATATTTTGCTAACACTGTAATTAAAAAATGCATTGATTCAACTTTCATATACATTTAGAGTGACTGAAAATACCATGGTTTGGGTCAGGTGCACCTTAATCCTTAAACTGACATCTTTGCTCTTTGCCACTTTAAAGAGGTCTTTTGCAGCAGGTTTGCTTAATGTAATATATTGTTTGATTTCTTCTGTTGTTTCCATAAGTGTTGATTGTAGATCCAAGTGAAATGAAGTCTTTGACAACTTCAAGCTTCTCTCCATTTATCATGATGTTATTTATTGGTCCAGTTGTGAGGAATTTTGCTTTCATTACATTGAGATGCAATCCATACTGAAGGCTGTTGTCTTTGATCTTCATCAGTAGGTATTTTAAGTCCTCTTTGCTTGCAGCAAGCAAGGTTGTATCATCTGCACATCACAGATGGTTGTATACTATTGTATGCCATGTTCTTCTTCATATAATCTAGCTTCTGAAACTATTTGCTCAGCATATAGATTCAATAAGTATGGTGAAAGATACAACTTTGACACACACATCTCTCCTGATTTTAAACCATCCAGTATCTTCTTGTTCTGTTTGAATGGCTGCCTCTTGCTCTATGTTCAATAAAGTGTTCTGAAATACCCATCCTTCTCAATGTTACCATAATTTGTCATGATCTACAGAGTCAAAAGCCTTTGCATAGTCAATAAAGCACAAGTAAGCATCTTTCTGATATTATCTGCTTTCAGCCAAGATCCATCTGATGTCAGCAGTGATATCCCTAGTTCCACATCCTCTTCTGAATTTGGCTTAAATTTCTGGCAGCTCCCTGTTGATAATACAGTTGATTGAGACCATTTTGATTTACTTCTGCATATATGTGCCCATTCCAAAGAAATTCACCTTTCTTTGGAATGGGCACAAATACGGATCTCTTTCAATCTGTTGTTCAGGTAGCTATCTTCCAAATTTCTTGTAAGTGCTGCATCCGTTTGTTGAAGCATTTCAATTTGCATTCCATTACTTCCTGGAGCCTTGGTTTCCAACAGTGCATTCAGTCCTGCTTGGATTCTTCCTTTAGTGCCATCATTTCTTGATCATATACTACTTCTTGAAATGGCTGAGCAGTGACCAATCCTTTTTAGCTTAGTTATCATGCATTCCTTCCATATTCTTTTGATGGAAGATACACAGTGGGTATGTGTTAATCCCTCTGACTCATGTCATATAAAAGGGAAGAACAGACAGGAAGACAAAGTGACACAGAGGGGAAACCACCATTAGAGGCCAAAGAACACCAAGAAATGTTTAGGTCTACCAGAAGGTGAATCTTCTCCAAGATTCTTCAGAGAGAGAAAATAGTATTGCATTTGGGTTTCTAGCTACCAGAACTGTGAGACAATAAATATCTGTTCTTTAAAGATACTTGACTTGTGTGAATGGTGTTTTGTTGTTGTTGTTATGGAATCCACAGGGCATGGAGACACCATCCTCTCTACATATTATAATTATAGCCCCAAATAGTCATTGTTTTTCTCTCAAGTCCTATTGTGTACTTGACCTGGCCCAGTTATTTAACATTTGCTCAGGTTCGCTCTTAAAATGAAACTCTCATTCCTCATGTTATTTAACTTAATAATTCATGTTTGTTTGTTGTTTTTTGTTTTAAAATCTCAACATGCAGGATTTTGGATTTACTTATTGTGGTACAGTGCATTGTTTAATATATCTCTTCTAGCCATAGTCTTTGTAATTCTCACCAAATTACTTTGTTCTGATGGGTCTGATTATATCAGGCTGTTGTGAGTGATTGGTTAACAGGATTAATTGTGATTCTAAAAACTTGGAAACCTATCAAAATCTAATCAACTTTGCCTTTCTACTGCATTTTAAATGGGGCTGTATGATAAGTACTTGACTGCAATGTCAGTTTGAACTACAAGGTCGGTGTTTCAAATCCACCAGCCACTCCTTGGATACCCTATACAGGGTTGCTATGAGTTGGAACAAATTCGATGACACTTAACAACAGCAACAACATCTTAGAAGTAGGTAGGAGTATGTTACTACTAACAAGAAAGAATGGACCAGAGGTGCAGGATGGCCTTTGGGTCCTGGGATCCCTGCATGTGAACCTTCCAACCCAGGAGACAGACTGACAACAGAAGAGTGGCAGAAGAAGAACCAAGAACCAGAGCATGAGACAGAGCAGTGGGCTTCCCAGCCTGGGGAGTGAGTAAAGCTGAACGCCTTCGGGTAGAAGGCAAGGCTTTCAAAGTAAAGTGCCTCTAGGGACTTAACTGGGTGGGGGTGATAGAGAAAAAGAGGGAGAGGGAGGGATGGAGAGAAAAAAAGGAATATTTAATATGTCTTAATATTTATTGGATGCTTGGTGTGGCACTGTAGGATCCGCACTGAACTGTGAACCACAAGGTTGGCAGTTCAAATCTACCAGCTGCAACTTAGAAACCCTATACAGGGTTGCTATGAGTTGGAACTGATTTGATGGCACTTAACAACAATAACAACAGTGTTTACTAATATGAGATTGATGTGCTTGTGGGCACAGCTGAGAGAGGCTCCTGACTGCAATAAATGTGCTCTGAGCATTTCAGATCCCGAATTGTTTATCTGTCATCTTCCCTAATAAACTCCATAATCAGTATTGTCTGTGAGCTCTGTGTGGCCATTGTAATGAAGTATGGAACCCAGCTGAGAGGAAGACAATGACTTGGGGAGGGACAATTGGTGTCAGAATTGACAAAGGAGGAAAGGGTGGAGGCATGTCTAACCTCAGTTTCATAAGAATTGGCCTTGGGCTGGTGCTGAGTTTGATTTGTCTCCTTCCCCCTTGTGAAGTCAGAGGAGGTCGGACAGTGCTGTCCACACCTTTTTACACTTATCCCTGTGCCCACAATCTTACACACAAATGTTCAACAGCTTTTGTTGCTTGATTGGAAACAAAGTTAGATAAATTAATGGATTCTTTGCCTTATGGACTTAGACTGTATTAATT